CAGCAAGATGGTAGAGCAAAATTTCTACATGAATTTCTAAGAGTAGGTCAACAATTGAGCAATTTCTTCACCTGCAGCGACTTAAAAATCACAGACGAAAAAACAGACATGTACAGTTCATGTTGTTGCTCACTGCAATGATTTATCAAGTCTTGTGAATCATGTTATTCAGTCGCGCAAAATTTCTGGTGGCTATTTTTTACGAGGACTTAATGAGACTTAAGAAAATGAAAAGTTTTTTTAATGAGACTTAAGAAAATGAAAGAAACCAAAAAGATTGCACTTTGTTTTGTCCAAACTTTTGTCCAAACTTGGCACTTGTGAACAAAATTCTGCCTGTGTGCTGTCACCTGTCAGCAAACTGCTTATGTCATGGCATGCTATGACTCCTGAACTGTTTGCTTTTGTAGTATAGTTTGTTTCGCTTTTAAGACAAGTAAAATTAGGAATGCTTTTTAGCATTGTTCAATGTTGGTTGCAAATGTTTTGTCCAATACTGTATATTTAAGAAGGTCAATACAAAATATTTTAGTAGATCTACTTTTTTTTTTGTTTTACTAATTGGTAGTCCTTTGACCAGGTTTTGCACATTTTTTTAGCTTTTTTTTTTGGCAGCAGTTTATACCTTAGGAAATGTTGGTATATTCAAGCGAAGCATAAATGGCCGTCAACGCCGGGAAGGCTAAAAGGTCATGTCATGCGTTCTTGGGACAGCTATGTAAGCATCATAAGGATCCGTGCTAACCATGATCATTTCTATCAAAGCAACTTAATTTTTAAGAGTGATGAGTTTGACCACCTGAAACTAGTTTTTTGATGTCTGGATTGCTTTTTGAGGTAGATAGAAGTATCACATTACGAAGACGGTTGTCTTCTAAATATCTAAGTTGTTTAACGGGCATTTAAAAAAGTCTCTGCGGGCATTTTTTTTCCCGCGAGCAATGGTTTGGCTACCACTGATTTTAGTTAAACAATGTTCGAAAATGTTGGTGCTACTCGTGAAAATTTTAAGGCATATGAAAATGCTAAATTCGTTAAACTTTAACGCACATGAAAATGCACACAAACAAAGTGGGATCATTTTTTTTAGGTTTAGCTCATCTGTAATTTCTGTAGAAAGTAACTTATTTTATTTAGGTAAATTTTTTGTAAACATAATAACTTTATCTTCCATTATTTTCTCTTATTTTATTTTAGAGCAAACATATTTAAAAAATTTTTAAAACTTAGTTAAGTTGCATGACTGGAGTTTACTTTTTATGATCATTATTTAATGACCAATGAAATAAACATTGATTCACCACAAGGTACAAAGAAAATAATCTAGTTTTGAAAATATAATCACAAATAATAACAAACTGTGTTGTATTTACAAACATATCATACTAAGCATCTGCGTCTCAAAATGGTACTAGGCGAAGGGAGACGAAATTTAAAAAAAATTTTATTACGATAAAACTGGTACGAAACAGGATACGAGAAGACGCAGATGTCTATATCATACATACATATTAAAAAAGCATGATTCTGTAGGATCACTTTTTCATGTTTTTATTTTTTCTGTAATTTCTTCTATTAAAAATTAAATACCATAAGGAATCTTATTCACACCAGTTTCAGTTAAATGTGTAGTGTTTAGTTTACTGATTCGATTCAAAGGAAAGAGATTTCAATTAAATCTCAAAGATCAATTAGCTTCAGAAAAAAGGGATTAATTAGTTTTAAAAGTTTAGCAGTTATTGAGTAATTAAATATATGGTGTTATCAGTATATTATGGTATATAACCATATTAAATTTAGAAAATATAGTAGGGTAGAACATGCATCCTTGATCGGTAAGCACCTTTAATTCTACAGCATTATCTCATACTTACATAACTTATTAAAGTCTGCTGATATTTAAAATTAGTTGTATTTGGGTTAGAGAATAGAAAACTATTAAAATTATTTTTAAAACGTTTGATTTTAAAAATAAATTTAATAATGAACGTAATTTTTTTTACTTTTATATAGAACCTCACATTTTTAATAATTTTTTGAGTTGAGTAATTTTGCTTATGCCATTTTGTAACTCAACTGTTCATCTCTTGTATGGTAGCTTTTTGTAAGCTATAGAAGTATCTAATATAAAAAAAAAAGAGTTAAACCTGGCGTATCATAAAAGAAAAAAAAACTGATAGACGCAGCGGTAAAATTAATGAAAATGAAATGTGAGCAGCTGTTAAAGCATTTTCTAATGGCGGTACAGTTAATTTTGTATCTAAGTTGAGAGGAATAAATTAATGGCCTTTAAGAGATATGTAAGAAAATGTCAGTTTATCAGACTATTTTTTAATGATTTTAAATCTTCAATAAAATTTTAAGATTTGAAATGAATAATGATTTTAAATCTTAAAATTTCTCGATGAATATAAGTTGAAAATAGTACAAAAAATGTTTCATCAACTTGTTGCTCTCACGTTTTGGGCAGGGGGGCTAAAATTTTGGGGTTTTTTGTTACCAGGTTCCAATAATCGCAATTTTTTGCAAAGCATCTTTAATTGAAATAAGTATAAAAATATAAATGTTTGCAGTTTGCTCCATGTCTGAAAGTTATATATCTCGAAGACCAGGTTGAAGTTTTCAGCCACAAATTATTTGTAATGTTGATGAGACAGGTCTCACAACTGTTCAAAAACCAGTAAAAGTGTTTGCTAGTAAACAAGATAAACAAGTCGGAAAGATTACAGAAAGAGGTATATTGGTGACATTTTGCTGTGCACTTAATGCAATAGAAAACACAGTCCTTCAATTTTTTATTTTTCCAAGAACTCATTTCAAAGGAAGCAAGATAAATGGTAATTCACCTGGATGTGTTAGAGATGCAAACCCGTCTGGTTGAATGAATGTTGCAACGTTTTTAGAACGGATGATACATTTTGTTCAAAATGTTTACCAGCTAATCCAGTGCTTTTACTTCTTAACAACCATGTGTGTTTAGATTTAGCTAAAAAAAATGACATAACTATGCTATCCTTTCCACTACATTGTAGTTACAAGCTGCAACCATTAGATCGGTCATTTTATGGGCCACTGAAACGTTATTACAATGCAGTCTGTAATGATTGGGTTGTATCTAATCCAAGACCAATGACAAATTTGATATAGTCGCAATAAAGGTGTAAGGAAAGCACAAGCTTTTGCTCTATCTAACATTTCTGCAGAATTTGAACCCTTTAATTCTTAAATATTTTTTAATAACGAGTTTTTTGCTTCATATGTAACAAACCATTCAAAACCTATTACTGCTAACCCATTTACAGTTGTTGCTGATTTAGTTTTTACTATTGTTCATGCCCCAGCTTTCAATCAATCATTGACGTCAAGTTTGTCATCAGGTTCAATTTGTAGTATATTGCCTATTCAGCTCATATCTGACCTTGGAAGTCGAATATTCAGTGTTTATAAGTTATTAATATCATTCATCAAGCTAGTCTAGAAAAAATGAAACCATTTCCGAGAGCTGGATCAAGGTAGTTCATTAAAATAACATAAGCGTCAGTGCAACCAAATACACACAGACACTCCTGTTCGAAATGTACTAAATAATCTTCAGAAAATAAAAAAAAAATCTCTATCAAAAAGAAAAAAACATCATGAAAAGCAAAATCTTCATGACAAAAAAAGAAAACTTTACCTTGAAAGTGATGAAGAAATATACATACATATATATATATATATATATATATATATATATATATATATATATATATATATATATATATATATATATATATATATATATATCATATATATATATATATATATATATATATATATATATATATATATATATCAATAAATATATATATATATATCAATAAATATATATATATATATATCAATAAATATATATATATATATATATATATATATATATATATATATATATATATATATATATATATATATATATATATATATATATATATATATATATATATATATATATATATATATATATATATATATATATCAATATATATTTAAACAGCAGTAACAGTGAAGATAGATTAGGATCACGACAATTTAAAGAGTATTTATGTAGTTCTACTTCAGGAAATACTAAAAAGTAATTTCATACTTTAAAAACTGAGCCTCAGTAAAAAATAACATTTTTTGTTGTTGATTTTTTCTTCTAATAAGGAAAATAAATTTGTTGTAAAATTAATAGTAACTTTATTAGTTTTTATCATAGACAGTTTTGATGACTTAAAAATCATTCTTACGCATTTATGGCATAAATTTGAACTAGGGTCAAGTATACATGCATAGGATTAAGGATGGATACAGGTAGGATCAAGGGAGCATACTAATATGTACCCTTGATCCCAATTGAGTGTTTTTAGTTTCTTTAATTTAAATTCTACTTAAGATATTTTAGTAAAAAAATAATTATTTAATTACAAGTTATAAAGTTTGCTATTATATATTGTTACTTTAGAGATCAAAATAAAAACATATATTCAGTAAATTAGCCTGATAGATTTTTAGTATTATGGGTGCATACTCTCTCCTATTTAGAAAAAGAAAGTCCTTTTATTGCAGTATCCAAAAAAAATCATAATACGCTGACAAAATCATGCTAATTCCGAATAAAAGAATTCGAATAATTTTTAAATTGCATTAACTACTCGGAGTAAATAAAAGAGTGTTTATTTGTTTCATTGACGCGGTTAGTTTATTTATTAGTTTAAAATAGTTTTACAATGTATACAAAACCCAAAAACAAACCCCAGGAATGAGAAAAAACATGGTGAAAAAGAAAGCTGAAACTTTCTCATTAAATACTTATTCCGCGGTTCTTAGGCTAAAAACTCTAATCAGGCCTTTCTGAGCACCTTAATAACCAAAACGAAATTAAATAATATATACATATATATATACATAAAAATCAACAATCAAATTAACATTTTAACAAAACGAAACAAGTTGTATTAATATTTAACGTAAAAACATACCAAATAAAATTTTAATCTTTCCTAGTTTAACTTTTTTTTGTTTAACAAACTTATACGCTATTTAGCAATTAAAGTCAATTTTTTTGTATCGCGTATAAAATGTTATTTTAATAATCTGCATTGTCTGAACTCTATGGTTACCAGTTGCTAGGGTTACCAGTAGTCCTTCTTTTGCATAGGAGAGTGTGCTAAACTATAAGTCATACTATAATTAAAGCACAACGGCAAGTGTAAAAAATTACTAACTAATTGTACTTGACAACTGGGAGCAAACATTTAGTTAATATAGACTCTAGCATAATCTCCATCGTAAAAGAAGGACATCTCAACAACGCACAACTCTATAAAAAAATTTTCTCAATTAAGTTGTCCGTTGGTATTTTAAGTTTTTGATGTAGAAATCGTTTAATAAAATTGATAGTATATATTCAAATAAACTTTTTTTAATTTGACATAATATGCTAATATGTAAGGAAAATAAAAAATTGTTAGCGTTTTTTTTGCCGGCATCTTGAAAAATGAGACACTTGCATTTGCACACTTTGCACGTCAATTAAACGGGCCCTGACATTAATATGCGGCAAGACATGATCCCAGAGGGCACAGACGTTGAAGGGACGTCTATGCGACGTCATGATGATGTCTCATGTCTGATGACGTCGAGCGGACGTTATGTGCCCGCTGGGTGTAATGTTACCAGGGTCGTAAATGTATTTTTTAAATTGAAACTTATTTAATTTTGACTCATATTACGTAATTAAACTAAGAGACCTTTTAAAAAAGTTTGCTATATATGTACACAATAATTTTATCTTATGTTGGTAGACTTATAAAAGATTTTGTACTTTATAATAATCAGAACAAATTTGTAATCTTAAATAATACTAGATAATAAAGTGGACGATTGTAAGCTAATAAAAGCAAGCTTTGGGGAAGTATATTGCGGCCTCCTTTTTTTAATTTGTGAGTACATAACAAGTCCATATTAAAAACCAAATTTGAATTGATCAAACTTTTGGCATTTAATATGATAAATGTCTTTATATAGGCTAGTCTCCAAACCCTTGAAAATTGCAATTTATTAGCAAACTTTTTATAAAAAGTCTTCAACTATTTTTCTTTAGTTGTTATTATCAGTATACACACTAAAGACAATGTGCAGTTACGTAAAAAGTATTAAAGTACCAAGAAAAAGTTTTACAACCAAATTTATTTTGAGAAAAAAAAAGTAATCCCAGGGTATATTATAACATTTGAACTAATAATCGTGCTTTACACATTTCAAATAGCAAAAAATGTGTTTTGGATTTTTTAAAGCTAAATCTAATAAAAAAATTTTGATCAAATTTTAAATTTCTTATTGGATTTAGCTTTTTTTTGATTTGGATAAGGTTCTCTTAAATTAGAAAAGCAACAAAGTGTCTCAAAAGACCCTTTGCTGCTTGTTGCTTTTTGCTTGTTACTTTGTAGTTTGTAGCTTTTATTACTAATCTTCGCTTTATTTTTTTTTGAAATTCAAAATTATGAAGTTTGTAAAATATAAATTTGTAATATAAATTTTTGAATTTGTAAAGTTTATAAAACTATAAAACTTATAAAACTATAAAATTTATGAAGTTTATAAAATTATAATATTTATAAAACTACAATGTTTATAAAACTCCAAAATTTATAAAACTATAAAATCTATAAAACTATAATATTTGTAAATCTATAACATTATAGACTTTGTAACTTTGTAGTACAAATCTCAATCTAAGTAAAATCTCAATTCTAACCAATCAAAACTAACTAACGAGTGTCAGGTAGATTACACAGGTTGAGTGTGAATACGTGTCATACTGTTAAACAATACATAAAAAAAAAAAAAAAACTCAATTTTATTTAATTTAATACCCTTGCGTCACTGTAAGATACAGTAAAACCATCAAACTGAAAAACTTATTTACCAAGTTAGAGAATAAAGATATGACCAATTTTTAATACTTAAGAAACAAGTATAAAAAAGTAGTAATATCTTTATTCTCTCGTTAAAAAGTTTTAACATCCTTAATCTCTCGTTAAAAACTAAAGTTTTTCCTGACCACTTATTATTAAAAGGCATATACCAATAATCAAGAGCAGGGATAAATTTATCAAGTCGTAGAACTCTCCATACTCCCATGCTTTTCAAAAATACTTAAGTACATAACGTACAATAGATATTTTACATTCCTCCAAAATTCCAAATACTTTTTTAATAAACAATACAGATTTAAAAATGCCCATTCAACTGAATATGTAATAATAAAATTAGTTTACAAAATCTTGTATAATTATTGTAATATAATTAATAAGCATTGAAAAAATCATTATACTATTGGAATATTTAGCGAATATTTAACTGGCAAAGGCTTTTAGTACAGTGGATTGTGAGATCCTTTAATACACACTTTGTAATAAAGGTATTAAAAAAAAAGAATTAAAAATGGTTGAGTTGCTATCAAAACAACTGGAAGATATTACAATAATGTCTCGGATTCTCTTTCAATCCTTACTTAAACTAAATTCATTTATTTAATCATAAAGTATGAAAATTTACAATAATATTTACTCACATAAATAAGGTTGGGTGTCATATAGTCAAAAACTAGACAATGGAATGACACCTAAAAAAGTCTGAATCTTCACCATTGCTAAGCTCAAAAATGGAAATTGATGAGTCTGTTCTTTCTCGTTAAAAAAATATGAAAAATGGTGGTCAAGTAAAGCATAAAAAAACTAAACATCCGTATTACAATGATTAAAAATGAACAAACGTATTACTGAGTTATTGACCACCTAGTCAATTTCTAAACTTTTGAAACTTTTTGATAACTGACTTTAGTTAAAAATTATAATTAGGAGGATTCATAATTATACCTTCATGTTTCAAAAACATTTTCGCTTGTGGGTTTTATAAAATCTTAAAAGCGTACCAGCAATTTGAAACTTTTTAAAGATCATTCAATTTATTTAAGAACGGGATTTTAAAGTAACTTAATTAAACTTGTAAGAATGTACTACGGTAATTAATCATCAAAAAACTAACTGTATGTACCTTAATTAAACCATAAAACTATAATATGCAAAATATGAAAGTTGCAATTCCCGATTCTATCTTGTTAATGTTGCAACTAATTTGGCTTTAGATAAATACTTAACAAACAAAAGCTCTGATATATTTTTTTAAATTTGAAACCAAGCATTTTTTTTGGGGGGGGAATTGGATTTTTTTTTCGGGGGGATTTTCCTCGGGGGATTATTTCGAGGGGATTTTTTCTAGGTAGGTTTTTTCTTAAAACCTATTTTTTGTTTAAAAAATTTAAATGAATGGAGAAAATATAATACGCCTTAATTAACAAGAGTGTTAGTTTGTTTACCTATACTTATTTTTAGTGACGCATTACTATGCAATTTATTTGCGGTTCCGGAAATTTGCGCTATTTTAAAATATAACGTTGTTTAAGTATAACTGTAAATTTGTATTCGTTAAGTATAACTCTAATTTACAAATTTTATGGAAAGTTTATTTAGAACAATAATTATCTAATATATTCATTACAAAACCGCTCAAACATTTTTATTTTTATTTTATTTTTACTTTTGACATCAAAGTTTTTACTTTTGACATCAAAGCAACGTCAGCATTCTAACGTAAACGCAACTTGATTTTACAAAACAAAAAAAATTGCACATTTTAAAATTGTTGAAAAACCGTTGTCGAAAAAAAATGCTTTTTTTAATTAGTAATACTAATATTTTTTTAATCTGTAATACTAATATTTTTTAATCTGTAATACTAGTATTTATTACATTATTTCTTTATATTCTACAGTCGAATTATATATCAAAATTTTTGGCGTTTTAAATAAAAGTTACTTTTAAAAATAACTTTTTACTTTTTGCACAAAAGTTTGTATGTTTGATTTCAATATGTTTTATATGATTTAGAGAACAAAACCTGAGTAATATTTTTTTTTGCCCAGCTTTTGAAACAGCAAATAATTTACAATTATTTTATTTAAAAGAATGTAAATCAATCGATGTAACAACTTATGTCAGCCTATTTATTCAGCCTATAAATATTTTTAAATATTTTAGATTTGATTGCAGCGCAACTAAATTGATATTGAATAATTCAAATGTTTTAAATGTTTATTAACGTTAGAAAATTTATCGAGTAAAATTTTTTTATACTTGAGATTTTGCCATGATTCAATCAGAGTTAATCACTTTAATCACTTTGAGATTTTGCCATGATTCAATCAGAGTTAATCACTTTAATCACTTTGAGATTTTGCCATGATTCAATCAGAGTTAATCACTTTTTTTAATCACAATTATTATTTTAATATTACTTTAAATAAGTATACATATTGCATGTGAATATTTATATAACGCATCAATAATATAAAAAAAATGTCTATAAAAATAATATCAATAGATAAAAAGATGCTACAAAATCATTCTTAAAAACATTATGAAGTATTTTTATTATAAAAGTTCATTTCTTAAAAGTTAAAAAATGCTAATTTAAACTATAAAAATTGCCAAATTTTTCCTAAAATTTTTATTTATAATACTATAAAGTATCCATATCAAAAGCATTAAATATATTATTATTATTTTATAAATAAGTTGTTATAAAGAAATGCATATTTACAAACTAGATTATATATATATATATATATATATATATATATATATATATATATATATATATATATATATATATATCAAGATCAACTATATGGTGAAAGGCTAATTCTTTGATAACCAGTTAATTAGAAAATGATAATTATTAAAGTTTTTACTAAATTACTGAAGTAAATGCATCTGATCTTACAACATCAAAAAGTTAATGCAAATCATTTTTGAAAATTTCCTCTTTCATTCTGTATCCGTCGAAATTTTTTGTGTAACTTTTTTTTAGTCGCTTATAGACATGTAATTTCAGCAATTTTTTGGCAGCATATTATTTATTTGAACAGAATAT